GCGGCTGGATAGCCAGGGAACGCCCGCCCAATTCCTCCACTCCCTCGACTTCCTCGGCTCCCACCACGGCCGTCGCTCCCAGAGACTCCAATAACGCAAGACTGCATCACATCATCCAGGACCCGGCCCTGCGGCTGCTCTTCCGAGAGTTCCTGCGTTACTCGCTCTGCGAGGAGAACATGTCCTTCTACCTCGACGTCTCGGACTTCACCGCAAACTACCGCCGTGCCGAGAAGGCCGGCGCCTTTTCCAAGATGGACACCGTCAGAGAGACCCTCGCCAGTGCTTACGGTAGGTCTCAACTACTTGGCTGCTTCTAAAGGAGTGTTGTACTAACAGTGATAGGCCTGTATAATGCCTTCCTGGCTCCAGGCTCGCCATGCGAGCTGAACATCGACCATGCTCTGCGCAACAGCCTGGCCAGTCGCATGACCCGCGCGGTCGGCGACGACGCCTCCATGGTCAAGTCCCTCACCGACGTCGTCCAGCTGTTCGAAGCCGCCCAGCTCTCCGTTTTCAAACTTATGTCCTCCGTATGTCCATCCCATTAACTTCTTCTTCTTCTTTATCTAATCGAATTCCAGGACTCCGTGCCGAAGTTCGCTCGTGATCCGAAATATGCTGCCGTCCTCCAGGAACACGACTTTGACCTCAACCCAACCACAAGCGGCCGATCATACTCGCCTACCCCCTTGCCCGAACGGTCCATGAGCAGAAGTACCCGATCATAGACCCACCGATCCCGATAGATCTCTGATTCGTTCCTTCTCACTTTTTCTTCTTCTTCTTTCTTGACGTACAACCACGGACACGGCGCGGAACTCCTTTTTTAGACGGCACAAACAGCGACTTGCACTATCATCCATCCATCCTACCAACCAAGCAAGAAATGTCCTTTCTATCTTTAACGCATCTCTTGAAAAAGTACCACCCCTTTACGAATCTCCTCGTCTCCTCACTTTCTCACGTCCTGTTCCTTTTTTATTCTTTTTATTATATTCTTCTTCTTCTTCTTCCTCTTCTTCTTCTTCCTACCTTCTTCATAGACTTCTGACCCTTGAGCGATTTGGTCGTTATATCACCTTCTTCTTTCTCTTTTCATTTGTTTGCTATACATACATACCCCCTTCCCCTCTCCCTTTCTTCTTACTGCATGTTTTTACATATCCTTCCCCTACTTACTTACATGAGATGACATACTAAAGAAAGCATTCGGATGGCGTATCTATTATCTATCTACTTACCACCTTTTTTTCCCCCCTTTTACTCCTGTTAATGGCTAATACCATCCTTCCTGTTCCTCTCTTCCTCCTGCTTCTCTTTCCCCTTCCTACTGTCCTGGCTACTTGTTTTCCTTTCCTCGTCCACGCGGCAAAAGGCGGGCTATCTGATCCATCCTTCCATCGCATCGCATCGCATCACCCCATCATGTCATCTACCTGTGCTCTAGTTCCATCCCACATAAAACAATCGTATATTATCATATCCACTATTTCTTCATCAAACCCCTCGTTGGCTCCATCGCTCGCTCATCTCATCTCAGCTCAGGTCAGCTCAAAATTACATCTTCCTGGCCTCACTCACCGAGTGCTGGCGCTGGCTGGCTGGCTGGCTGGCTGGGCTGGGCTGGGCTGGGCTGTAACCGTAATACTCTTACACTTTTACCCTGGCCTGTAATTTTTCGCAATACCCAAGGTTAACTTTTTCCAGCCTCGGCTTGCGATCGCCGATGATCGATAGCAAAAAAAAATAAAAAAATAAAAAAATTAAATCCATGTTGTGCTCTCTTTGCTTCTTCCTGGGCCTCATGGCTCGCAAACTCGGCACTTGCAACACCCCCTTATTTGCTTCTTCTCGTTGGCTGCTGGGCCATGTGGACATCACGTCAGCGTCGGATGCCGGTATATTAGATCCGCTATAGCTACCAGACGGGCTTCTATGATGAGATAATAGCAGATGGAAAAGTAAGGTACAAACCCCCACCGGAACAAGGAACAGGTACAACGAATAATAAAGATACAATAATAAGCTCTAAACCCGACTTCAACTTGTCTACTTGCCTGCCTGCCACCCTCGAGCCCTCATGCCCTCTTCAATCGCAGACCAGATACCCTCCACCACGCCACGGTCTCTCCATCTCGCCCCTCCCCCAGGGACATTTGCGCTCTTCTCATCCCACCGGTCGATCGCGAAGCTGCGCACCCCTCTCCCCCACCCCTTGACCTCACGCGGCGGCTCCTCGCCTCGCCATCCGACGTGAATGCCCGTCGCATGCTTGAACAGCTCCTGCGGCGTCGACCACTTGTACGACTTGAACTGCCATGTCTGGCCCGTCGTGAACACAGCTACCACGCGGTTCCAGTAATCCGGCTTGAAGTCCGCGGTGCTATCGACCAGAATGAACAGCGTGGGTTTGCGGAGCGTGTTGGCGGCTCCGGCAGCTACACCTGCACCGGCAGGCGCCGTGGCAGACCGAGAAGTGTCTGGTATCGTCTGTAGTGCGCGCGAGAGGTGCAGCAGGTTGGAGTTGGTGGATTTGGCGAGCGAAGGGTGGTCGGGCGGGATGTAGATGCCTTCTGTTAGGAAGGTTTTGATATTCGACATGCGTAGTAGGGAGGAAGCGGATGGCGACACCAGGATAATGGGGTTGGGTCGGCGGGAGGAGGACGAGGCAGAGGATGTCCCCGAGGGCGTGGCTGTTGGGTCAAGTGGCTTTTTCGGGATACTGCCTGGTCCCGGCGTGGGTGTGGGTTTGCCGCCCTTCGACGACACGGCGGCCCGGCTCCTGTTGCGGCCCAGGAACAGCTCGGCTGTCTTGCGAATATGTGAGAAGTCCTGGTAGAGTTTAAGGCAAATCTTTGTTAGCGGGTAAGTTCCATTTGGGGTAGTTGGAGTTAAGAGCTGGCCTTTACCGTTGGCTTGATGCCTCGTAGCACCGTGTTTCTGTCTCCCAGCTTGCGCTCGCCGTTATATATAGCTTGTAGCCGCGCATCAACGCTCTTGCCGGCCCGGCTTGTGGCAGGTCCGGCTCCAACGCCTCCAGCAGATGCTTTGGCCGGCACGCTTGACGCAGCTACATCTGCCTCTTTCGCGGATCCAGCTGCAGGACCAGCCGGAGCAGCAGCGCCGCCAGCCTCGCCCACTGCTTCCCCTGCCTCTTTCCCTTCAAGCGGCTTGATATACTCGCTCTCGTCAGACGCTCCCTCCAGCCAACTGATCAAGTCAACTTTCTCCACAAACACCAGATTCAGCACCCTTCCCGCTGAGCCCAACGTATCGTTCACTTCCTGCGCTGATGCAATGTACTCCGGTATAGCCACGTCTTTCTTCAGCCACGCAAAGTAAATGCTTCGTAGGTCAATGGCCTGGTTTGCCGCCGCCGAGACGAACCGCGTCGGCGTCGAGAGCGGTATGCTCTGTGCTATCGGCTGTGTCAGGTACAGGTGTGTCGCCTTGGAGATGTCATCTGTTGCATGCTCCGTCGATAGTTCGGGTGAGCTTGTCAGCACGGGGCCGCTGGAGGACGAGCTCAGAGCTCGTTTGAGTGCGAGTAGAGGGTCGGTCTGCGCGGCGTCGGAGCTCGCCATGTTTTGGCGACCTTGGTGTATGTTCTCGACTTCTCGAACTTGGCTCTCTTTTGATTCTGCGAGTTCTTCGGATCGTCTGCAGCTGTAAAGTAATGCTGTGAGGGCGTCTTTGAAGGGTATCAATGTCTGTTCTGCTGCTCGTTTGAAGCTGAAGTTGGAGTTGAAGCTGTTCTTCTTCAACTTTCAACTTTGAACTTCGCTCTGGTCACGTGATATGGCTTTTTCGCATGTCCTGTGTTGTTCAAATTTGAATGAAGGATGAAAAGAACGAAGGAAGTCGAGCTTTGCTATTCTCCTTCTTTTGTCCAATAGCCGGTCCATATCGATGCTTCGAAGGTGGTCTTCGGCGCCAATATGGGTTTACGTGCGATCTGTCTGTGTGTTGCCATCAATAGGCCTACTATCACATGGGCTCATGGATTCATCAAGATCCTCTAAGGACGGCGTAGCTGACTGACACTTAACTACCCTCAAGAGCATGCTCCTCCATCCAGAGGGGTGACTGCTTGAGCCGTCGGTGTTTGGTATATGCCGTTCGCCGGTTTGATGGCTGTGTTCAACCAGTCAAACCCAGCAAAGCCAGCAGAGTCTCAGCATAGCCTATCTCTAACTATCTAACCTCGGCTGCCTTCTCCATAGTTAAGTTACCCTGGACACCGTATACGAAGAGCATCAGCCGCCTCCCTCAGCTCTCGTCGCTGCCTAGAGGACTCCATCCTCCATTCAACTTATATATGGCCTGCAAGTAAAGGTCCCAACTCATCTCCGTACGCATATACAACACAATGGCGGCAGATAGGTTCACAGAGCGCATTGTAGAGATGTACGATGCCATCGTCCTCCACCCTAGAAACACAGTATGTGCTCCCTCCGTTTGCAGATGGCACTCAAGATAATCCCACCTCTTGATATACTAACGTGCATCCAGGGTTATAGCTGTGACATATTCCGCAATCACGTCCGCTTTAGATCAGCGACTTCCGGTCCCCCTGCCCGCGTCACCTACACTGCAACCGTAGCTCCAGAGATGTGCAACGGTCTAGGAAACCTGCACGGCGGATGTGCCACAACGCTGATTGACGTGTGCACGTCGACTCTACTGCTTGCCTTGGGAGGACATTTCTCCGTCGGTGGAGTGAGTCGGTCGCTTAACATGACGTTTCTACGACCTGCGCCGGAGGGAACGGAGATTTCCATCAGTTGCGAGCTCGTGCATGCCGGGAAACGGCTGGCGTTGCTTCGGGCCGATATTCGCAGGGCGGATACGGGTGCTCTGTGTGTCCTGGGGGAGCATGACAAGGCCAGTACGCCGATGGATTCACAGCTGAAGCTGTAGCGGACTTGGCCGTAGAAATGAAATAAAAAGGAAGCAATTGATATATATAAAGAGATAGACGTACATAGATTATCTGTGTTGCGGGTAGAGGGGAGGGGGGGTCTAGCCATTTCTAATTTTTCTTTTTGATAACGTTGTCCATTCAAGCCTATCTACAGAAGTTTGTTCCTATAGTACGACCCTTTCCTGCCTGTAAAGGAGATGCCGAAGCATCCTCAGATAATAAAATTATCTGGTCAGGCAACATGCATTAAAAAGAAAAAAAACAGTCATCATACACAGTCGTAAGCCCTCTCAGTACACCGGTAGGCTCTCGGAGAGGCTTAGGTGGCTTGAGGGAAGGGCATTCCTCGGACAAGATTTCTGCCTGGGTCGAGACGGTTGTCCAAATCGGCGTAACGAAGAATAAATTCACGCTATATGTGTCAATTAGTTGATGCAAACACATGCAGTGCCATTGAGGACCATGTATACTTACTCGGACTTTCTTCCAGGAGTTGGTATCCCACCACAGGTAGACACCTCGCTCGCTGATACCTCTCTCAACCTCAACTGGGTTCGGATAAGTGTCGTCGCGTGTCAGCCAAGCGCGTTCGATCTTGTGGTAACGCCACTTTCTGCCCATGAGCTCCTCTGCGACTAGCTCTTGCATGATATCACGCGGCATGCTGTAGAAGATGTAGAACAGAGTCTCATCGCTGAAGCTAGGTATACGGTTCTGCAGCGGCTGGACATTGGCTACATTGTAGCATGCAGGCAGAGTAAAGTCTGGCCGTAGTGGAATGGACACATTAGATGAGATAAATGGTGATGCAAATGTTTGATGCAGTGGTCTTTTTTTATATATATATGCAGAGTCAGCAGGCTATCGCGCGTAAATTGGCGTATTATATCAAAGGGCGTCTGCAGATACTTACTCCTGCTGGTTCAGATCCAGTCCAAGGCTCATCAGATCTTGGCCGATAGCGAGGCTCGCAACGTCTGGGCTGTCACTATGGATCATGCGTAGAAGTCCGGCTAGGCCGAATCGATCGTGTTCGCTCATCTGCGAGAGCGAGGCTTGCTCGGCTGTTTGGCCGGCTCGTGAGGGATCATGCGCCTCGTTCTCAGCCTGCGCCTGCGATGGCTGCGGTGGCTGCTGCTGCTGGCGAGAGGACTGCATCTGGGCTGGGTTCTGCTGCTGCTGCGGCTGCTGCATCGGATCCATGCCGCGTTGGCTCATCATGGATGCTTGAGCTTGAGCCTGAGCCTGAGCGTTGTCCTGTCGGTTTTGGTGGTTGGCGATGTGGTTAGCCAATAGGACGCGTCTAGAAGAGGAAAGGACGAGTATCAAAAATATTTTTGTTTTATAGTCACCTACTCACCTCGTGATCTTGTCCAATTATCCCGTTCTGGTTCTGGCCAGCTGGTAGCCGCGGCCCTGGTGTGCCTTCAACAAAAAAAAGAAAAACAAACATATGAACATATATCCAAGCTGAAGTCGTGTAGGTGTATGCTCACTTACCAGACGGGCCTGCAGCTGCAGGAGATGCGATTCTACTGGAATCTTGCTGGTTTCCAAGAGACGAACGCGTCTGGGCAAAGCCAGTGAACCCCATAGACCCAGCATAGTTGCCAATGGCCCCTCCTTGCTCGGACTGTTTGCTTAGAGGAGGGAAGTCATCGACACTGCCAGCCTGGGGCTGGTTGCTGCCGGACATCTGGCCCATGGCCTGGACACCGTTACGGAAATCATCAAGCTGGGTGACGAACTGCGTTGTTGAGGGGAACTGGTCATCATGGCCTTGAGCTTGACCCTGGGATTGCCCCTGCTGGGCTTGAAGCTGTGCTTCTCGTGAGGGAGCTTGAGGAGGGACGGAACCTTGTGCTTGTCTCTGCCCAAGACTCTGCTGGATTGAACGTTGGCCTGCGTTGCCCCATATGGCCTGTCCAGGGGTTGGAGTGGTGTTCTGCGGACCACTAGAGAGGGAAGGAAATTCGCTGAGAGACGCGAGATCGAGAGTCAGCACGGGCTTTGCCTTGTAGTGGCGGCCGGAATGGCCAGCTTTGGTATCTGCCCTCATAGTGAGGGGGGGTATCAATGCTAGCAACGGTGGGATATCAAGCTGGCAAGGCAGACGTTGCTGAAGAAATAGGAGACGAAGTCACGAAGGAGAAGAAGAAAGGAGAAAAGAAACAAACAAAAATAAACAACAGAAGAAAGGCCTCTTGAAGGAGGACAAAGACAGTGCCGAGAGAGTCGTCGCTACTCACGAAAGGTCAAGGGGAGCAGCAGGCTGTGAGCCGCCTACACTTTGTGCAAAGGAGCCCATGGGATTCACTGTTCTTTGCTGACTGCCCATTGGTACTCCAAAGCCCCAGTTCGCAGAGGTGCCGCCTATCCGGGGTAATAAAGGGAGGTAATAATTAGCCAAAGTCCATCTCCGATACAAAAGGTATTCATTCCGTCGTCCTCACCCATCTGACTATTTGGTAACCGGCCGGATAATAGGGCAGCGTTTGCAGTTCGGTTCTGTGATTGTTGTTGGGCCGGGAAGCCTGACATGCCTCGGATAGGCTGTTGGCCTGGTCCTATAGAGTATAAAAGAAGAGCTGTTAGCCATGCGTACGCTTATGAAGGGCTCGGGTAAAGGTATATAAGCTGTGACATCTAATAGACGTCTTCTGAAGCCATGATATATTTCATATAGGTATCCGTTCCGGCGCAGAGACAAATGCACGGGCAGCTCGACCAGATCAAAGTCAAGACCTGTCTTGACATGGCCCAGAGTGACTATACATGGGACAGCATTTGAGTATAGGGCATATCTTCCTACCTGGCCGATTCATGCTGGCGGAGGGAGCTTCAGTGCCCACTAAGCGTGCCGATGGGACGAGTGATGAGGTAGCTAAAGGCTGCAGCTAAAGAAAGGAAGGATATAGAATACAGCGCGATACCAATGCAGGTCTCTTAGTGAGGTTTCAGGTGGATCTTGCGTTGCTGGAAGCTTGGGTGGGAGTGTCAGTGAAAATTGGTCCTTCTTTTGCCAGCAACCTTCGGCTCTCATCAGGAAGAGGCGCGATAAGTTAGTTAGCCAAAGCACGGACCATCAAGGGTAACTAGCAGTCACTTAACAGCTTATTTATTCTATATGGGGCTTTTTGTTACCTCTAGGCCTCAAAGATGCTGTAGAACATATGGGAGGCAGCAGTAGACCCTCTGTAGACAATGCAGCCTAATCCTACACTTAGCTATTTGACTAGGAGATGGCCTCTTGCCTGTGTCGAGTAGTTACAAAGTAGCCTTTTGCTACACTTCTTCGACCGTTTCTATAGAATAATGTCTACTATATTAATGGATAGCTCCAACATCGTGGTCAGGAGCAGTCAATACATCTAACCCATACTCCCCCCCTTCCGCTCCCTTTACCTCTCTCCTAATCCATCACCTTCATCCTCTTCTCTCCTATATCATCGACAATTTTCGCTTCTTCCTTATCGCTTCAACCGCAGGGATCAAGAAGAAAAACTAGCCACGTGATTAGTTACACACGTGACACACTTACTTTTCTCAAGGAAAGTTGAGTTTTTCTTCTCTTCAACTTTTTTTTTCTTTCTCCAACAAACATCAAGAAGAAGTTGAAGAAGTGGAAAAATCTCCTTCGACAGGCTTCAAACAGCTTCAATATGCGCCCAAAGGTTTCAATTGCTCACCTGGCTCGCCATGGAGGCCTCTCGCTGGCCGAGCTGCCTCCCCCCTTCGCTCCTGCCCTCTACTCCCCCATAATATCAGTATCGCGGTCGTCCAAATTTTCAACCTCTGCCTCCTTTCAAGATCGGAACAAGAATCGTGGCGTCTCTGCCATCCATAGAAGCGGACTTAAGCATCGTTTGTCTGTGTCAAAGTTCAAATTACCAGTCCCAGTGAACCCAGAAAGACATGAACCGCGTGTTCTCAACCCGGAACATGGTCTCTGGGACTTCTTTCTTCCAAACAAACAGGCTTTTCCCACCCCAGAGCAGGAACACGCGCACGGTATGGGCTCTCCTTGATGAATTCCATTCATTAACCCTCAGCTTTTACTGACCAATGCCACGCTGCAGGCCGCTCCTGGACTATTCAAGAATTGCGCCAGAAATCGTGGGATGACCTCCACTGTCTATGGTGGGTGTGTGTGAAGGAGCGTAACCGGATTGCTACATCCAATTATGAAAGAGACAGACTAAAGGCTGGATACGGAGAGTACGAGGCTGGAAAAAGAGACAAGACGGTAAGCATATCACATTTCCTTTTTTTTTTTTTTTTTTTTTTTTCCCAGCCAAAACATTCTTTATGATGAATCCCATTCACTCGCCGATATGAGTCACGATTGGGACTGCTTAAACCCTCTCGGTATGATTCTACCGGGATACTTACTTTCTGATCATTGCCTATACTCCACGCTATATATTTATATCACTTCTGTTTGCGTCAATGGCTGACTCGATATCAAACTGCAGATCGTCGTTACACAGAACAATATCAAGCATGTCCTAAGAGAACGATGGAACGCCTGGTCAGAGGCTCGCGAGCTGTATAACAATGGCTACCGACCAGAGCAAGACGAGCTCCTAGAAACCGCCGAGTTGCAGGAGGATGCTATGCCTGCAGAGGTGTCGGTCGAGGACATTAAGGCAGATGCAGCAAATTCTAGAAGCCAGCCCACCGTTCCTGCATGAATCTTACCATCTTCATTCAACGCTTGCTCTCTCCTTCCTGCAACCCTCAAATGTATAACAGTCAAATGTATAACAATCCATCACCCGTGGCTGATGATGTACACTACTATTTAGTTGAACAGTTAATGTCTTTTTTTTTAAAAAAAAAAAGCCACGCAGGTTCCAACAAGAGTAAGATATGCTTATTACCAGTGCGGAGTACTATCCTCGCCTTAAGCAGCGATTTTCACCTCTCACGGCCGCCTGTCCAGGGGCTGGTTCATGGATGCCCTCTTGGCTGCTGGCCGTTTCGATAGCACCCAGACTAAACACTCTTAGCGTTAACTTTTTTTTTGCTGGCATCCTTGTTGACTTGCTAAGTTACCCATCTTCACCTCTTCTTCCTCCCTCTCCCCAACCCACATCTTCCCCAAGCTTCTGCAGCCTCAGCTCTCGGTTCCTGTACTTCTCGTCCAACCCTCTAATATCTCCAAGACAAGCAAGAAAGCACCTCTCAAGATGGAGGAAATGTCCCCGGAGTATGACGTGATTGTGATGGGCACAGGTAGGACCTACAGAACCCCACCTCGCTCGCTCTATTGTATTGTACTGCTGGTTGAGCTGAACCGTCCCTGACTGACTTGTTACTCCTTAGGTTTGACGGAATGTGTCCTCTCAGGGTAAATAGCCTTGCCATCTCCTGCTTGTGAAGCTAGTCAGCTTGTACGCTAACTGCAGTATCGTTGGTACACAGTGTCTTGAGCGTCAAGGGGCAGAAGGTCCTTCACATCGACCGAAACGATCACTATGGCGGGTTCGTGCCTCCAATCCTAGCTGTTTGACTATAGATATATGCTAATGCATCGTGGTAATATAGTGAAGCAGCCTCCGTCAACATAGAAACTGTATGTACCGTGAAGGAGCCCCTCCTTTCACCGCCAAAGCTGACACAGGGGATCAGCTCTTCCGCAAATTCAGGACTTTTAAGCCCGATGAGAAGCCATGGGCGAAATACGGCAGAGTAAACGATTGGAACGTTGATTTGGTTCCAAAGCTCCTCATGTCCAATGGAGAGTTGACCAACATCCTCGTCTCGACCGAAGTTACCAAATATCTTGACTTTAGACAGATTGCTGGCAGCTACGTCCAACAGGGAGATGGACCAAAGGCCACTGTTGCCAAGGTCCCCTCAGATGCCGGCGAAGCTCTCCGATCCTCTCTTATGGGCATGTTCGAGAAACGACGTGCAAAGAAGTTCCTCGAGTGGGTAGGAGAATTCAATGAGCAAAACCCATCCACCCACCAGGGTCAGTAGACAATTCCTAATATATAGACGCTCACCATGGGTCCTAACGCAATTTTAGGGCTCAACATGGCCACTTGCACCATGAAGGATGTATACGACAAGTTCTCGCTCGAGACCACCACCCGCGACTTTGTCGGACACTCCATGGCTTTGTACCAGTCTGACGATTACATTTCCGAATCTGGGAAGGCTGCTGAGACCATCAACCGTATTCGATTGTATGTCAATTCCATGGCTCGATACGGAAAGTCTCCCTACATCTACCCGCTTTACGGGCTGGGAGAGCTCCCTCAGGGCTTTGCTCGTTTGTCGGCCATCCATGGTGGAACTTATATGTTGAACGCAAATGTTGACGAGGTCTTGTATGAGAATGGTAAGGTATCTGGTATCAAGGCTACTATGAAGGAGCGAGGGGAGCCTGGTGAAGGATTCTCCTTCACCACCAAGACCAAAAAGATCATCGCCGACCCTTCGTACTTCCCTCAGAAGACCAAGGTCGTTGGTCATTTGCTGAAGGCGATCTGCATCTTGAACCACCCCATTGATAAGACTGACGACAGCGACTCTCTTCAACTCATCATTCCTCAGTCCCAAGTTGGAAGAAAGCACGGTATGTTTCTACTTTACCGTCTTATAAACTGTTCGGTCTAGCTAATCTCTCTATTCATCAAGACATCTATATTGCCATGGTTTCGTCTGCCCACAACGTCTGTCCCAAAGGTTATTATATTGCCATTGTCTCTACCATCGCTGAAGGCGAAGCAAACCACCACCTCGAGCTCAAGCCAGGTCTTGACCGCCTGGGCAAGATTGAGGAGATGTTCATGGGCCCTCCCATCCCACTCTATGAGCCACTTGAAGACGGCAAGAGTGATAACATCTACATCTCGAAGAGCTACGATTCGACAAGCCACTTCGAAACTACAACTGGTAAGCCATTCTCCCTGCCTGGACTCTTTGAACACAGGAACTGACCGCCCTTAATAGACGACGTTCGGGACATCTACGAACGATGTGAGGGTCATAAGTTGGTCGTCGAAGGCCTCAAAGAGGGAGAAACTCTCGTTGGTGAGGACCAGTAAATGTAGATGAGGAAATACAAAATCATCTACCGATGCGCTAGAACGGGATCATCAATGTTTATACCAACATCTATTACAAATCTTCCCATTTGGAGGCAATGCAGGGTTAGTAAATCCTAAACGGGGGATGGATTTAGTATAAGAAATTCGATAGCTCTGTGCTGCTTTGTATGTTTTTTTCAAATATTCTTCACTTCTCTCCCTCCCATTTGATAGTCTGGGTCAGAACGAGTGGTGATAGGCGGCTGGCGGCTAGATCACGTGCTGGATGAGGTCACCTAACTTTTTTGTTTTAGCCTAAAAAAGACAAAAGTAAATACACAGCGAAGTTCGAGTCGCAGCCAAATCGGCCGTTCACGTTGCATAACAAGCAGCTGCGCAAAATACAGAACCATTCGCTTGGTTTGATTGTCCGGTCTCTCTTTTTTTCTATGCGCTTCATTTTTGGGGTTCGACTTTTTTTTAAACTTGCGGAATAAGACATAGCCGGACGCGACGATGAGGATTATTGAGGTTATCATAGATGTGAGCGCATAAATAACCCGGGAGCAGCGGGAGTAATAAAATGGAAATGATTGAATCTGACTAATTTCATGTCTCAAATAGGGATTTAAGTCCTATGCGGTGCGGACGGTTATATCTGGGTGGTGAGTGATAAGCTTGTCCAACATCTACAGAGCACTTTCGCATACCCCACCATGCGCGTTCTCGCTACTTCACTGCGACTGTGAGGTTAATGCCCGCGTTTTCCGGATAGGGATGAATCCTTTAATTCTATTACCGGCCTTAACGGTAGTGGTAAATCCAATATCCTTGACAGCATATGTTTTGTGCTCGGTATTACCAACATGAGCACCGTCCGCGCTCAAAACCTACAAGACCTTATATATAAGCGAGGCCAGGCCGGAGTTACCAAAGCCAGCGTCACGATCGTTTTCGATAACCGCGATAAATCGATATCACCGATTGGATTCGAGGAGTATGCCACAATTTCAGTCACCCGGCAAATAGTTCTAGGTGGAACGAGCAAGTACTTGATTAATGGCCACCGCGCGCAGCAACAAACGGTGCAGAACCTCTTTCAGAGCGTGCAATTAAATATAAACAACCCGAACTTCCTGATTATGCAGGGCCGGATAACAAAAGTGCTGAATATGAAGCCTGTTGAGATATTGGCTATGATTGAAGAAGCTGCTGGAACCCGGATGTTTGAGGACAGGAAAGAGAAGGCAGCGAAGACAATGGCCAAGAAGGAAATGAAAGTTCGGGAGATCGAGGGATTATTGCAAGAGGAAATCGAACCCAAGCTGGAAAAGCTGAGGGGTGAGAAGCGAGCGTTCCTTGACTTCCAGCAAACACAGAGTGATCTTGAACGGTTAACAAGACTTGTTGTTGCCCATGACTATCTCAAGTACGGGGAGCGCTTGCGCCTGAGCGCCGAAGAGGTCGACAAGAGAAAACAAAAGATCGAAGATTTGGAAACAAACGCGACTAGATTGAAGGGCGAAATTGCGAATCTAGAAGAGGACGTGAAAAAAGTTAAGGAGGCCCGCGACAAAGAATTGAGAAAGGGAGGGAAGTTCCAGGCGCTGGAAGATAAAGTGAAGAGTTATTCCCATGAGATGGTTAGATTGTCAACATCGATTGACTTGAAAAAATCTAGCATGGGCGAAGAGACAAGTAAGAAAGAAGCTGCGGAAAAGGCTCTCGCCGAGGTGCAAGCCAACCTGAAAGGGAAGAAACAAACCTACGATAAGCTACAGGCACAATATGACAAAGCCAAAGCAGACTTCGATGCACAGACAGCTGAAGTAGAGCAAAAGGAGGAGCTCTTGCAGACGTTGCAAACAGGTGTTGCCTCGAAAGAGGGCCAAGGTAACGGTTATCAGGGGCAGCTTCAAGATGCTAGAAATCGTGCCAGTGCGGCTGCCACAGAACAGGAGCAAGCAAAGCTCAAGATCTCTCATTTGGAAAAGCGCATCAAAGAGGAGGAACCCAGGGCAAAAAAAGCTGCAGAACAGAATCAAGGGTTGTTGAAAGACTTAGAATCTCTGAAAAAGCAAGCTCAAAAGCTTGAGGCAGAACTGGCGAAACAGGGATTTGAGCCTGGCAAGGAGGAGAGGATGTACGAGGAAGAATCAAACCTCCAAAGGGCTATACGTGACCTTCGAGGTGAAGCCGATGGCTTAAAACGAAGGGTTGCAAACATCGATTTCCACTATTCGGATCCTTACCCTGATTTCAACAGGTCCAAAGTAAAGGGATTGGTTGCACAGCTGTTCACCCTTGACAAGAATCATTCTGAAGCAGCTACTGCCCTTGAAATTTGTGCCGGAGGCCGTCTTTATAATGTGGTTGTCGATACTGCAGAAACTGGCACAGCACTTTTGCAAAATGGCAAACTTCGAAAACGAGTTACAATTATTCCTCTGAACAAGATAGCTGCATTCCAGGCATCAGCTGAGAAAATAGGGGCGGCAACCAATTTGGCTCCTGGAAAGGTGGATCTTGCATTATCACTCATAGGTTATGATGAGGAGGTTACTGCTGCTATGCAATACGTTTTTGGCTCTACCTTGATTTGTCATGACGCAGCAACCGCGAAGAATGTGACCTTTGACCCTTCTGTTCGTATGAAGAGTGTGACCTTGGAAGGCGATGTTTATGACCCTTCGGGGACATTGTCTGGTGGTAGTGCCCCAAATTCAAGTGGTGTTCTCCTTATCTTGCAAAAATTGAATGGCATTATGATGGAATTGAGAGCCAAAGAGAGAGCCCTCCATATACTGCAGGATACCATGGCTAGGGAAAAGAAGAAAATGGATCTTGCTCATTCAACCAAACAGGAGCTTGATCTCAAGATCCACGAGATTAAATTGACGGAGGAGCAGATAATGGAAACTCATCTCTTCTGTAAG